CAATTCATGTTATCGCGCTGTGCCAGGAGATGCCAGTTCAAACTATCCGTGTCGTTAGATACCGCCTTAGGAATATGATCACTGTTCGCAATAAATCCAAGGTACGTTTTTGGGTGTGTGTGTGTGCGGAACCTTTGGCCTTCAAGAGTTTTTGGACTACAACTCCCATAATCTCTTGTCAATGCCAGCCTTAGTGAGAAAGATGGATATTGCCATCCAAAATATTTAAAGGGTTATGACACATTCGAAAAATGGGTAATTAACTGCAGTAACAGATTCAGTGTACCTGATCTTATTGAGAGATCTCTCTGTGAGTACCATGTTGTATCTATAGAGTTTATTTAGACCAGTGATTCCCAATCTTAGGTCTCCAGATGTTCTTGGATTAAAGCTCCCTAGTGCCTTAAGCACTAGTTATGGTGGCCAGTACTTCTGGGAGTTGTTTGTAGCTTGAGAACTTCTAGGGACTCAATGCTGGGAACCACGGCTTTAGATGTTTAAAAAACACATTTTGATAAAATGGCCAATCAATCAATCAATATTGGATTTAGCTGAGGTAAAGGTAAAGGTTCCCCTTGACATTTAGTCTAGTCGTGTCTGACTCTAGGGCCCGGTGATCATCCCCATCTCCAACCCACAGAGCCAGCGTTTGTCCGTATACAGTTTCCGTGGTCACATGGCCAGCACGACTAGACACGGAACGCCATGACCTTCCCACCGAGGTGGCTCCTATTTATCTACTTGGATTTTTACGCGCTTTTGAACAGCTAGGTTGGCAGGAGCTGGGACAAGCAATGGGAGCTCCCTCCATCCTGTGGATTCGATCTTATGATTGCTGAATTTAGCTGAAGACCATCACAATTCAGTCTGCCAGAATAATACATAACAAAACTGAATTAGAAAACACTGTACTATCACAGCACTTTGAAATCCACAGCTACTCACACACTCTAAAAATGAGAACCAACGAAATGTGTACAGTTGGAAAAAAATATTCATGAATCTCCTTTAATTAACAAAGGAAATACACGGGTTCGCTAAAAGAGGTGAATTAAATTAGCCCATTAGGAAGAAAATGTGTAGATAAAACGTTCATGAATTTTCATGTGGGGAAAAGAGGCATACTATTGAAAGCAAAGGTTGGAAAGAATCTGTTAACTGGGTTTGGCAAAATGGAGCATTGAAACTGAGGAGATTTTTCACGTCCCTGCTTGGATGGTTCCGTGGGTCAGAACACCAGGGTTTGAGAGTTTGAGAGTTCGATTCCCAACAGTGCCTCCAAGACAAAGAGCCAGCCCGTGTTGTCTTGGACAAGCTGCATAATCCCAGAGCACCCCCAGAAGAAGGGACCAATAGCCAACTTTCTGAATACACAATAACTGGAAAACCCATGGAAAAGATCACAATAGATAAGAATTTACTTTATTGACTCCAAAACCCATCCTGCCTTGGGCTTCTCTGAACCCGGCCCCTCGGTCTGATTGCCTTTGCCTTCCAGTAAGTGTGAAAACATGAATTGCTGGTTGTTTTTTTGTACCCAGTCAAGATAGCTTATCAAGGGAGTTTTTATTACAGTCATATTGCCAATTAACATAAGCACCTCCATAACCTTGTGACAGGACTAGCGCAAGCAGCTGACTAAGCTTATACAATGCAGAGGGGTGTATATTGTGAAACGGTCTTTAAGGAATCAAGAAAAATCTGTTTCTGAGAGAAAAGGACAGCGCTCTGCTATTGCACCTTAGAGGTGACGATTGTGGATCTTCGATCAGACCCTCTTTTCTTCTGATCTTGGTGGCCTTAAAAAGCAGAGAGGGACATACATTGGGGGGGAGGGGAGACAATGAGACAGAACATCAGTTTGCATAAAACTGGCTATGTGGATACACATACAAAATCTGGAAATGTTCTTCATGATTTAAACAGCCTTCGGAGACATCTTGCCTGCGTGAGACAAACCAGGCACTTATATGTCTGTTGTACACAGAAGAATAGGATCACCATTGAGCATAACATATGAAAAAGACCCTATATAAATCCAATTTGAATTGAAAATGGTCCATGTCAATCCTTCTAGGGGTTGAGAGGTTTGAGGCTTGTGTGGCAGTCATAGTGCCGGCTTTTTTGAGATCATCAAGAAGAAACTGGTCAGATCTTCCACTCTGCCACTCAGCCAAATTATTAGCCCATATCTTCTTAACCTCTCCTTGCTGAGTTGTTTTGAAAGCAGGAAGAGTCCCAGAGCACCTTGAAGATTCATGAAACTTATTACAGCCCAGATAAGATATCTTGGTATAGGCTGTCTATCCAGAAGTCCTTTGAGGACATCTGAGATGGAAACCTGATACTCATAGCCACATCCTTGTCCCCTGAAACCAATATTTTTCCTTGTCGACTAAGCTACAGCCACATAAAACCTCCTCTTGAGTACCATTGTATTTTTCTCAGAAAATCTTGATTGTAGACAAGGGATCTGGAACAAGATCACTGCTGAAAAGAGAAAAGATATTGCCTAGGAGTTAACGACATGGTTGCATGCAACGTTGCATTATGTCTAGAGATGGGCTCGAACCAGAAAAATGACGAATTGGGGTATTTCATGATTCATGGATATCTCTGAACCACGAACTACCCCTTAACCCTGGGAAAAAATGAACCAGTTCATGATTCAGTTTTTTAGGTTTGTGCATGGGGGGGAGGGGACCTAATGCCCATGCCCCTGTGGCCTCCCTACCTGATAGGCTAGCACATGCGCAGAGAGAGTGGGCCCATCTCCTAGAAGGGAAGGTGAGAAATGATTCCCCATGTTGGAAATTCAATTGACTACCCCTTATTTGTTAGTTTACCTCAACTGGCACTTGTTTTGGTACAATTACTCAGAGACTCTGATAGATGAGAAAGAATAAAATGTTCCCGTTTACTTACAACTCTTCTTATATAAAAGCAAACATCACAATGTTTGGAGATGTGAATGTGTTACATTCCCGAGCTTAATTGGTTCATTGGATTTAATATGAAGTAACTGACTGATTACATCGCTGAAAGAACACCTCACTCTAACTGTTCGCTTCTGACTCCATAACTCACGTACACAGAACATTCACTGAACCCGGACGGGCAGAACCCTCCTGACCGGCACAAGAATCTGTGGAGGAGAGGGAAGCCTTGGCTGCTACTGAGTCGACCGACAGCAACCCTGGTCCAGAAAATGTCCCTGCCAGCTAAAACCTCTTAAAGGCATTCTATGAGGGTGCAGTATAGCCCACAAAACCAGCACGGAAGCGACTGATGGGAGAAGTGGACAGAAGCTGAATTTTACAGGCTTGCCCACCCTTTGTGGGCTTCTTCGATTGCAAGAAAAAACATTCACACACAGACACACACCAATGTTGTTTAAGCTGACCGGCTGCTCCTTGCCAAAGTCTGAGAGAGGTTTTCTGCTCCCCTGTGCTACGTGAGATGCTGAGGGAACGGTACCTGCCAGGTCTGTGCAGGTGTGTGTGTGTGTGTGTGTGAGAGAGAGAGAGAGAGAGAGAGAGAGAGAGAGAGAGAGAGAGGGGGGGGGGGGGGGGGGGGGGAGAGAGCCAGGAATTTCACAAACAATGGCTGCCTGTGTCCCGAGATGTGACTTACAAAATGTAATGCTTTGCCTTAGAGTGCCTTCGTCCTCCGATGCCCTCTTGAGCTGCCTTGCGGGAGGTGGAAGAGCTGGTCTTTTCGTGGGGGCAGAGGCTGCCGAGACTTGGGGGGGGTCAGCGATGGCTGAACTCCCTTGCAGAGGTTCCTCGCATCCCCACGACTCCTGGGATACAGAGAGATTTCTTGGGAAGGACTCCCTACTGCCCTGCCCTCCTCTTGGAAGGAAGGTGACTCAGCCAGGCCTTTCCTAAACACATCGTGGGATTTACCTGAGAGGAGGGTTTACTCTCTTGCCCCACAAGCTGGAAAGGCAAAGGAAAGGGAGACGCCAAAAAATCCAGTCTCGGCAGAATGATGGGATGTCCCCCTCTGACGCTCCTCTGCTTAGTCATTCGCCCACGGCTTGCCCACAACACGGCAAGACCGAGGATGGGGATGATGGGAACTGTAGTGGCATGACTGGACAGAAGACCGTGCGTCGGGAAGAAACCCATCTGTGTTGAATGGCAGTTTGCAAACGTTGTTGACCACTCATAGAATGAACCATCCTTTTGAGGAAGAACTGGAGGCCATGCAACAAATGCAAGTTAACGCAACCCACACCCGTGCCAAATTCACCCACCTCCAACTGTGCCTACTGTCACATCCGCCATGCACCTAAATCCTATATTCCTTGGAGGTTTGGGGGTATTGTTTGTTGTACATGTGCACCAAATGCTACATGTATGCCCTGGTTCACATGTTCTGTCATACATGCGTGCTGGTGTTGTGTCAAAAATTTTATGATACACATAAGTCACCATTGTGTTGCCTTGATGCAGATACTGGATTTCTGGCTTGGGGCTAGGGCGACCCAGCTTTCTTTGTTTCCAAGATTTTTCTATTTTTTATTTTTTACTTTTCCAGTTGCCTGCCCAGCGGCTGAAAGCACAATGGCTTCATTTATGGGGTCTTTTATCTCCAGTTTCCATATGCGCAACGAATGCATGCCTCACACTAATCTCTCTGTGCTCACATAAAAGGCTGTAAATTATAGCTTACTGGGTACACTGCCTTGTTTTGGAGTCAGACAACTGCACAATGGCCTTACTCCTGTCCTTTGGTGCATCTTAATAGCAGGACATTTGCCTGTGTATTCACACATACAATAACCTTTGTTTTTCAAGAGCGAGATGTTACCCAGGTAATTGCTATCACTATGCAGGAAATGAAAGTGGGGGTGTGTGGTGATCGCAGTGGCGTTGATGCTAGGATAGAACCCCTTCCAAAATCTCGGCAGAACTGGTCAACTGGAGCAGAACGTTGGTGGTGGTTTACTTCAGCCCCCAAAATGCAGGGCTTGATGACCCATTGAACTGAGGATGTGGCATCTTGTTATAATCCTCACCCTTCTTGTCCCCCATTTGACTGCGGAGGATTTGCCCGTGGCGGAAGGGATCCCTTGTTCCAAGTATCAAGTGGCTTTCAACCATTCATGCTTTGAGTTTGTGAGGCTCCAGCGTACGTTCACGAGTGCCCAGAGCTGGTGTGAGAAAGGAGGCGGGCATCTCGTCTTTATCGAGAATGAAGAAACCCAGACGTTCCTAGAGGAGCATATCTCCGTGGACAAGGAGTGGTGGATTGGGATCACTTACAGTTCTTCCTCAAATGACACGACGGAAGGTAAGGAAAATGGTCTCCTGGTTCTGTGCATGATGGTGGGTGGGATCAGAGCCGTTGGCCTTCAGATACAGGGAAACTCCATTTCCCAACAATTCCATGGAACTCATTGGGCGACCTCAGTCCAAAATTGCTGCATGGGATGAGCGAAACTGTCTTATGCCATTAGAGCAGGAAGAGGGGATGATGGGCTATAAATGCAATGGGAAAGCCATTTTGTTGGTTTGTTTGACTGCTAAAATATTGGCTTGCTAAATCCAGCTCATGGCAGCATCCTCGCTCTTCTATGCCACAAGAGTATGCCTTTGCACATTTGATGGTCTAGTAGTGCAAAGTACAACACACTGGATAAATGCCAGTTTTCATGTTATTTTAATATCTTTCAGGCTTTAAAGATGAGTGGGAGAAGCCACAAGTGGACCCTCTAAGGCAATGGCTTCCAACCTTGGGTCCCCAGATGTTCTTGGGCTAGAAATTCCAGAAGCCTTCACCACGAGCTGTGCTGGCTAGGATTTCCGGGAAACTCCATTTCCCAACAATTCCATGGAATTCATTGGGCGACCTCAGGACAAAATTGCAGCATGGGATGAGCAAAACCATCTTATGCCATCTGACATTTCTTAGAGCAGGAAGAGGGGATGATGGGTTATAAATGCACTGGGAAAGCCATTTTGTTGGTTGGTTTGACTGCTAAAATATTGGCTTGCTAAATCCAGCTCATGGCAGCATCCTCGCTCTTCTATGCCACAAGAGTATGCCTTTGCACATTTGATGGTCTAGTGCAAAGTGCAACACCCTGGAGAAATGCCAGTTTTCATGTTATTTTAATATCTTTCAGGCTTTAAAGATGAGTGGGAGAAGCCACAAGTGGACCCTCTAAGGCAATGGCTTTCAACCTTGGGTCCCCAGATGTTCTTGGGCTAGAAATTCCAGAAGCCTTCACCACGAGCTGTGCTGGCTAGGATTTCCGGGAGTTGTAGTCCAAGAACATATGGGGACCCAAGGTTGAGAAGCAATGCATGAAGTGCTTTCACATCTCACTTTTAAAATACAGTAAGTACCACATTCTTATGACGCAAACCATCCCTATTAATTCTCCTGCAAGTGGACAGGTGGTCATTTATGAAAAAGCAACATAAAAGACCACCCAGAAGCACTATGTAAATCCTAGTGATATTCCATATTATTTGGAATCAAACTAACCAGAGTGTTGGGAAGTTGCTCTTTTTTTTTGACCACAGCACCCCTGCTGGCTGGAGGACTGTGGGTGTAGCTATTCCCAAAGAGTAACTTTTCTGAACTCTGGTGTAACTGGGTGGGTGGGGGGCTTAAACTGCAGGATAGTAGCTTTCATCTGAAGGTTGGGAGAAACCTTTTTTAAAATAAGAAGAAAAGATCAACAAAGGAACTAGTGGGTGGAGAGCTGTCTCTTGGATACAGCTTGAACGCTGGACTTCTGGAACTCCTTAATGTGGTAAAAGATATTTGATAAGTTCAGTCTGCATTTTGCAAAGGAGGTTGATTTTTCGTGATGCATCCTCAGGAGAGAAACGTGGGCTTCATTTGAAGCCCTCATTGTCCTTCGAAAGAATGACATGTCCAGAGGGAAAATGCTGCAATGGCAGGAAATTCCTTATAATGTGTAATTTGACCCTGCATGGGGCTCTCTTCCTGTTCAATTGTAGAATGAACCATTGCTGGTGCACAGATTGATGCATTCATGATGTTGCTTCCTTCCAGGGTCCATGATTTGGCTGGATACCTCGAATATTACCTACAGCAAGTGGCACCAAGACCCACCCTCTGCTTTCACAACCTCGTGCGGTTATATCCTGAAGAACTCCGGCTATGAGTGGGGTGTAACAGAGAACTGTAGCCAGGAATTTGACTTCATTTGCCAGTTTGGTAAGATGCCATGAGCTCATTTCCGTGCATTTGAAAAAAGGAATCTATAAATCCCTCTTGAATTATATTTCAAAAATGAAGTAGTTGGGTGAAGTTACCAGACATACGTTAGACGAGCCACTGCATCCCAACATGGGGGGGGGGGCAGATTATGTGAGATTGGCGCATTTTGTTCTCTTACTAACGGCCCCCTTGCTTTTCTCAACCCCGTAGAATCGGGCCATAGCATTGCCTGCGACACCTTCAACGCTACCGTGCAGTGCGGGTCGGGAGAAGTCATTCAGATCGGAGAGAGCTTCTACGGGCGGAAGACCCCCCACTACTGCGTGCTGGAGACCCCCCTGGACTTCGACGTTGAAGAAGAGTGTAGCTGGGTCAGTGTGAAGGACGAAGTTGTGGGTAAGGTTTTAGGGAAGTGACGGGCTTTGAAGGGAGTGACCCAGCAGGGGAAAGGTCCGCTTGGGAGCGGGGATATTTGGTGTGAAATGGAAAAAGGAATCAAGAGGAGTTGTTTTGAAATACATAGGTTTGCCTTGAAGAGTTCTCTCAAGCATTGTTAAGGCATTTCTGGTTCAGCAGAGTGAACACGAGAGGAGGAGAACATGGTAGGGCTGTCCATTTAGCCATTTTCATCATCCACTTGTGAAGAGGGACTTCCTGGGGTAGAAAGAGTTCCTTATGCTCATATCTTGATAAACTCAGTTTTCTGAATCACACCTTCCAGGATACCCAGTTGGCTTAGTCAAGGGTCATGTCGCCTGGGGGATTCTGGGTCACATAATCCCAAAATGGAATGTTTCCAGCTTCTACCCACTTCTATCCAGCACATGGAACACCTCTTTAGGCTACAGCTGCCCAAATGTCCTGCCAGGATCCCCACAAAGCCCAACAGGGTAACTTTTTCAAAATGGCGGCCCCTCTCCTCACCAGGAAGCTCTCCTGGTGTTGTGGATCCCTAAGTTAGTTCTGTGTAGAAATGCCTGGGATCGCATCCTTTACACATTGACTTTCCCATTGTCCATCCTTAATGTTGGGTTTTGCATATTAATATTTGTTGGTTCCCCTCATTCTTCTGATGCCAAGGTAGAATTGTAACACAATTCAAAATAACATGTGGACGCCAACCGACTCCTTGCAGGTCAGTGTCATGGGCTTCAAGCCTGCCAGGTTGCAGCTGATGGGACCTTCTTTGGAGATCCGTGTCCAGCTTTGGGAAGCTACCTATCTATTCAATACCATTGCATGGAAGGTAAGCGGTACTGTTTTCTGTTCACACAATGGGGAGAGAGGATATTTCGGGTTGTCTGGATTACAACCCCTTAATTCTCCATTCTGGGAGTGCCACCTGACAGACAGGCACCTTACAGATACCTCAACCAGGATGTGCGTATATGTGCATTACAATGGTATTGATGCTTTAAAGATCCTGCCTCCTGCTAATTATTATAATTAAGCCTTATAAGCATGTGGAAAACATCCCACATTCATAATGCTACTAGAATAAGACACATGGTGCAAGTGGACCTTCTGGGCCTCATCCAGCCTGTGGATGGCCTGACTCTGGCCCACCCAGGGGTCCAATAGCTTCCACCGTCTTTCAGCGGATGCAGAGGGGATAATGTTATATTTTTTATATCGTTTTATAGGTTTACGGCTAGCTGTGACGGAGACAAGCTTTGTCTTTGAAAACGTCACCATCTCCTTGAACTGGCTCCTCTCGCCTTACTCGGGCAACCTCTCCTGTATAATTAGCACTGGGGATGGAAACACCATCGATCCTTATTACCCACCGTCGTAAGTTGAAACCTTTGCGGTCAAGCCGTTGGGGGCTTTTAGGGACTTGCTGCCATTTTCTGCCGTATTGAATTTAAAGATTTGTTGCCAGATCATCCCATTATTCACCTACGAAGAAGTGAATGACGGGGTAATGCCTCAGTGTGTGCAGTGAGGTTTTCATGGAGCCTGATCCTGTACATTTTGTTCCTTTTTTTCCTCATGAAGTTAAATTGTTGTATATTGATTGCAGTTCCAGCCCTCCTGTTAGGTAGAGTACTGTAAGTTGGCTGTCCTTAAGGGGGCAGCTTTTGAGTGCTAAAAACACCCTTATCATCATCATCATCATCATCATCATCATCATCATCATCATCATCATCATTATTATTATTATTATTATT